ACTCTCAGCAACTCAGCCTCAAACGGCAAACTTTCCATGTCCGTTGTGAAGGATGCTTATTCAATGAAGAGGCAAGAAGGAAAGACATGAGCACAGATCAGACTCATGCCCTTGTGACGGAGAATCGAGAAAGACCACAAGGCAAGCAACAAAGAAGCAGTAGAGGGAAGAGCAGGGGTAGAAGCAAGGGGAGGCAATCAGATGATCGGAGATCACATGTGTGCTATCATTGTGGTCTAGAAGGTCATATGAAGAAGAATTGCTATAAATGGCTCGAGGAGCAGCGCAAGAGCAATTCTCAGCCGAAGAATAGTTCTCAGCAGAAGAACAAGGGCAAGGGTGGTGAAACTCTTATCACTATCTCAGGTGATGTAGCATATTGCTCTAACCATGGTGAGACATGCCTTCATGTTTCAAGAGAAGACATGGAATGAGTGGTAGATACTGCAGCATCCTATCATGTTACTCCCAACAGGAAATACTTCACAACATACCAAGCTGGAGACTTTGGATCGGTGAAGATGGGAAATTCCAGCTCCTCTCAAATTGCCGGAATTGGTGATACCCAGGCAACGACAGGAACCGGGAGTACAATCTTGTTGAAGGATGTCAGGCATGTGCCAGATCTTAGGCTGAATCTTTTGTCAGTGGTGGCTCTTGACAAAGAAGGATATGAAAATCACTTCGACGCAGGCACATGGAAGTTGTCAAAGGGTGTTCTGAAAATTGCCCGAGGACATGTTTGTGGGACTCTATACAAAGCACATTTGAAGATCAGTACAGAAAGTCTCAATGTTGCAGAGGAGGTTTCCCAGGATCTATGGCACCAGAGACGCGGCCATATGAGTGAGAAAGGGCTGACTACCCTGATGAAGAAGGATCTTATCAAGGTTGATAAAAGTGCGGCGATGGGTTCTTGCAGTCATTGCCTGTTCGGCAAGCAGCATAGAGTCTCATTCAATACAAGTTCAGCAAAGAGATCAGAGTTGTTAAGCTTGGTACACTCTGATGTTTGCGGTCCCATGGAGGTTGAATCACTGGGTGGAAGCAGATATTTTCTGACTTTCATTGATGATGCTTCTCGAAAGGTGTGGGTATATTTCCTGAATACGAAGGACCAGGTGTTTGAGTACTTCAAGAAATTTCACGTCATGGTGGAACGTGAAACAGGAAAGAAGCTGAAATGTCTCCGATCT